GTCAAGACCGCCCCGGCCCTATTTCAACAAACGATGAACGCAATGCTCTCCGGCATCCCTGGCACAGCTGGGTACCTGGACGACATCATCATCGTGGGTCGCTCCCCTGCCGAGCTGCAAGACCGAGTGTGCGCAGTACTCGAACGCGTGCCGGAATATGGCTTTCGTCTACGGGCCGAGAAGTGCCAATTCTTCCTCGACTCCATCAAGTACCTTGGATTCGTTTTTGACGCCAATGGTCGCCATCCAGATCCTGAAAACATTCGGGCCATCCAACGGATGCCTGCCCCCAAGAATGTATCGCAACTTCGTTCGTTCCTTGGCCTGATCAGCTACTATAGCGCCTTCCTACCATCGCTGCATGACGTACGGGCCCCGCTCAACCGTCTGTTGCAGAAGGATGCTCCCTGGTGCTGGTCCCCCGACTGTGAAAAGGCCTTCGCCCAGCTAAAGTCGATGCTGAGTTCAGATCTGCTACTCACGCACTACGACCCGACGCTGCCGATCGTTGTTGCTGCAGATGCTTCCAACCACGGAGTTGGTGCCGTCATCTCACATACTTTTCCTGATGGGTCGGAAAAGGCGATCATGCATGCATCTCGCACGCTAACCCCTGCGGAGAAGAACTATGGGCAAATAGAGAAAGAGGCTCTAGCCCTCGTGTTTGCTGTCAAGAAATTTCACAAACTATTGTACGGTCGCCACTTCACGTTGTTGACGGATCACAAACCGTTGCTGTCAATCTTCGGTTCGAAGAAGGGCATTCCCGTCTACTCAGCCAGCCCACTTCAGCGATGGGCAACCATCCTTCTTGGCAACGATTTCGACATTCGCTACTGTCGTACTACAGACTTTGGTCAGGCTGACGCCCTTTCTCGCCTCATCAGAAATCAGCAGGAACCGGAGGAAGATACCGTGATTGCAGCTATTTCGATTGAGGACGATGTGCGCCGTCGGCTATCAGACGCCATACGAGGTATTCCTGTCACTGCCGCGGACATCCGACGTGCTACTGAACAGGATCCTGTCCTCCGCCAGGCCATCACCTACGTGCAGACCTGCTGGCCAACCACTGCTCTCGCTGGCGATCTTCGCCAGCTCTTCCTCCGCCGAGCATCGCTATCTGTGGTTGACTCCTGCCTCATGTTTGCAGACCGTGTGGTGATCCCATCTTCCCTCCGACCCACTGTACTACGCCAGTTCCATGCGGCTCATCCTGGTACCAGCCGAATGAAGTCTATTGCTCGCAGTTTTGCCTACTGGCCGGGTATCGACGGCGACATCGACGACCTGGTTCGACGCTGTTCTCGATGTCAGCAAGCTGCCAAGATGCCGCCTCGTCAACCGCCAGTACCCTGGGAGCCACCAGAGAGGCCTTGGTCACGCGTGCACATCGACTTCGCTGGCCCACTTAACGGAGTCTCCTACCTAATCTTGGTTGACGCCTACTCGAAATGGCCCGAGATTGCTCCGCTGAATCCAGCAACCGCATCTTCCACTATCGCCTTCCTACGACGCATCTTTAGCCAACATGGCTTACCAGAAGTCCTGGTTTCAGATAATGGCTCTTAGTTTACTTCGTCGTCGTTTGAGGATTTCTGCCGCCAGCACAACATCCAGCATCTTCGCTCCCCGCCCTACCATCCTCAGTCTAACGGTCAGGCGGAGCGTTTTGTCGACACGTTCAAGAGAGCCCTCTTGAAAGCTCGTGGGGAGGGGACCACGGACGAGATAGTCCAGGCATTCCTGTTTTCCTACAGGACAACACCGAACCCGGCGTCCCCTGGTGGCGTTTCTCCTGCCGAAGCGTTGATGGACCGAAAACTGCGTACAACTTTTCATGCCCTCGTCCCTACCGGTGCGCAGCCCGCGCAGACTTCTCCAGTCTCTCGCAGCAAGCTCTCCATCGGAACGCCTGTCTTCGCCCGTGATTATCGAGCGGGGTTCCCAGACTGGATTGAAGCAACCGTAGTATCGCACAGAGGCAGTATGTTGTTTGACGTTGACGTTGGTGATGACATCTGGGTTCGCCACCACAACCAGATCCGACGGCGACATTGCAGTAACAAAACTGGGCTCGATTCGGCGCCGTCACTCTCTCTTGACATCCTACTGGATACCTTCGCCATTCCGGCAGATCGGTCGGTTCCTGAACCCACTGCTGCGCCTCCTTCGGATGTACCGCCTTCGGTATCAGTCACTGCCCCCGGGTCTCCAGACAACAAACCACAACTAAGACGCCGGACCAACCGCGTGCGCCGATCAACACTGCCGATGCAGATCAATCCACGCCAAAAGCGGTACTGACCCACTTGGAGGGGAGGTGTTGGGAGTGCCTACACTCCCAAAAACAAGAGCAAACCAATCAATGGAGATCACGTGCGTTTGCTCTCTCTCTCTACCGCGCTGTCATCTCAATCAGGCGCTTCCCCATTGGCTACTCCCCTCTTCCCGAAGGTAATTGGACCGAGTGCCGGCGAACCACGCTAGCGTGTGATAAATATGCGTCACCCTTAGCGAGACGTGACTTGCTAATACGTGCTTGCTAATACACGTTCCGTGGCCAGCCGTGTGTTCTTTGTCTGCTGCCTTGATTGGGAACCAGGGCCGAGTGCGCATACGCTCCACGGAATTTCGAGTACCAGGCGGGTCGTAACAGTACCATAGAGATTATATTAAAGAGGAGTTGCTGGAGCCTGACTCTGAGTGCACTGGTCAACCATTCAACACGCAACTGGCTACGTAGTTTGAGTTTAACTTCTAGCCTGAAACCTCCCACGCCAAGACATTTTACGCAAACCTGCCAGGTTGTTTGAAATGAGGAATTTTGCGTCGAGAGCCAAGCTCATTTAATCTACCCTATCTAGTGCAGCGGTCCGGTGTCCGGGCTAGTCAGCCGAGTAATGTTTAAATTGGGAGAGGAGACTGACAGAGTAGGGGACAGCCCGTCTGTGTGTGCCATGCACACGGCATGTCTATCCATTCACAAACCGAGAATTCCCACATGGGGGTGTAGAACTTTCGGAACCCACATGTAGCGGAGAAGCCACTTGGAGAAGGGAACCGAGGAGCGTACTTCACATTTAAACGATATGTGACTGTGGTGTGGGATGTTGAAGATGCTCGTATGTGATGAAGGAGTTGGTGGGGAAATGTGAAGTGATTTGGTTATGTCTGCGGAGACTTGCCGCATGTTTTCATAAATGTTCATGCGACCGAATAGTCCCGTGTGATACTTTAATTTGCGTGGCATTGAAGACAACGAAGGCAATTGAGGCGATGGTGTCTGGTGCATGTAGCTGCCTCAGGAACTGGCTCACTAATCTTTGTGTAATGGATTCACAAGTAACCGATCAGGCCGATGCGTGGTGTGAATACGTGGTGACTGTGAGGGCAGGATAAGTTAGGTGATGTTAACCTGGTTGTCGGTGCGATGCTGCCGGTGGTGGACGCGTCGGCAGACGAGCAGTTTATTTAGCTGGGGATGGGAGGGTTGCTAGATGTGTAAGGTGTATTAGATGTGTCGATATTGCGATGAATTCCGTAGTTTTGGATACTCATGTGACTCAATACACCCATGCGATGAGTGAATGTGTGTGAACAGTGTGGTAAGTGAAGACGGATAAAGTAAGAATGTGCGCTGCCTCCTGGCTCTAGTGCGTCAATCGCAGTACGATGGATTCACAACTGGTCGGGCGGGCCGATGCGCGAGGCGAATGCGCGATTGCAGTGGGGACAGGCTGGAGCTCAGTCCACACCTTTGTAGAGGGGGATAGTGATTGTGAGACTGGTGGTTGTGTAACAGCCAGACATCATGACCGGCCTGGCGTCATTGTTCCAGACCTCGCTGCCTCAAGGTCATTCATCCCTTACAGCGAGCCATCCTAGACGAGGTGACCTGAAGTCGCACAACTAACAGCTCGGGCATACCTGCGTCCGCACAGCCGCAGCTGCCCATGCGGCCACTTGAACGCACCTCCCCCTTTGCAACAGCAACCTAAGCCACTGGGACACCACCCCTAGGCAAATGAAACACACACTGACTGGCCACCACTTGAGCTTGGCCCACAAGCCTACAAAAGCGGCTGCCACCACTATCTCAGGGACTCTCAGGCCTGACTGGACGCAGTCAACACCAGCCCTGGCTTCGTCAGTGGCCACTGTCGCCTGAGAGGACAACTCCGGGTTCTGTGCACAATAAACCCCTCATTCTGGTTTCTTCTGTCTTCTTCCTTCAAGCATGGAATTTGACCTGACGATTGTAGCACACATGCTGCACATATTCTCCCTGCTGTGCCGCTACAGTTGACGGGTCGTATGGCGCGTGTTGCTGGGCAGCTGGAATGGGAACTGTGCTGGTCGTCGTCTCCACAGAGGCAGTGGAAGGGATGATGCGGATAGCAGCGATCAATGACGGTGGATCACGGCGCCGGTGAACGTCGGTGGTGGGCACCGTCGTGGCTGTAGTGGCGGCGGTCTGGGACAACAGTTAGCGCTGTCGAACTGTTAGGACTTTGCGTCCGCAAATCTCCGACGAAGCATGGAATGTTCTTTGACAGCGCGCACGCTGGGAGGTGTTACATGTGTCCGTTGCGGGCTAGGGGAGCCTGTGAATTGCGAGTTTTTTCTTGGCTTTCGCAACACTGATTTAGCTGATTTCATGGATTGCTGCTTCAGTATGCACTGCCCTTCCTCAGGCCGACCGGTTTCCTGCGAGAACTTCCCAGATTTTGGGGTTGATTTGTTATCACAATATTGTGTTTTTTGACTTGTGATTCTGTTTTTGAGTAAATGAGTCGTCAGATCTGTGTCCAACAAAGCCTAAAGACGCTGTGGCGGCATAGTTCACTGTCCATTACTCTTCAACCCAGATGGCTTGCTTATTTATCAACAAGCCTTCGATTAAGGCTGTTTCACCACTATCCATTATGAAGACGTCAAGCAGTCCGAACCAGTGTAAACAAAAAGAGTTCTCTCTCCGGAGTTCCAGCTTTAGACCGATGGTCAAGGGAAAACTTGATATAAAGGTGGATCGCAAGGCCAAGAAAATACAGCGGTGCACTAACCTTAACGATGTGGAGAACTTATTCGTCAAATCAAGCTGGGCAACGGACTCTGCATCAGAAGAACTTTGCCGCCGTTCAACCTTAATGGAGCAATTCTTGCCGCAGATACTGAAGCGCAGGTATGAGCACTCCAGAACCGTTTTCATTTGCTTATCCACAATCGCCGAGAACGTCATGAACGGGCCTTTTCAAGCGGAAACCATTACTGTCGTGGACCGTCAATGCTTCCTCCCAAAAACAATCAGAACGGCCCTCTAGCGTAAACACGTCGGGAGCAGACGTTATCCCGAAGACGGCTACAAATAGGGCGGCCCTCGGCTGATGGGCACACTGACATCGTTGTTGTGAGAGATTTGGCGGCCGGGAAACATGTCTTGGAACTTTACGGTCGGCATCATCGTAGACATCTGAAAACTCAAGGACGACCGTCTACTCTGTAGTAATCTTTAAACTATTTCTGTCTTCAACGTTGCAGGCAAAATCTTCGCTAGCGTCCTCCTCAATTGTCTGAGCACTCACATGAGAAAAAACATACTCCGAAAAGCCAATGAGGACTCCGGAAAAGGCGCATAATCGTTGGTTTGATCTGCGCCGTCTGCCAGTTAAACGAAAAGTGCCAAAAATGCAATCAATCCTCCAAGCTAAATACGTAGTCCTAACAACTGCCTCGGACGCAGGGAATCTCGATTTAACCCTGCAGAATTACGCTAACATTTGGATACTTCGTGCTGCTGGTCCAGGTAATCATGACAAGACATCCGGGTAACGCAAGAAGCGATGAGATTATACCCCAGCAACCGTCAATTCACCTGCAATATCATATTATCAGAAACAATATGATACCTGATATAATATTGGTTTTACACCTTCGATTGCTACCTATGAGAGTTTCATTCTTCCAGCCCATATTCATCTTTTCAGCTGCTCATTCAAATAACGATAATTAGCCATCCCTGAGACACAAATAAACTAGGCGATCAGAACCAAGAAGGTATCCAAAAACTGGCAGCCGGCAAACAGCAGATATCTAAAGTGATACATTCGCAATCGGGCAGCCTCTGGCCAAAATAGAAGTTAATTAATCTCCGCGACGAAAGAAATATTCTTTATCCTAAAACCATCAAGCAATAAGATTAAATCTCCATATTGTGTATCTCGTTTCTCTTTATAACGTATTTAATTACTATGCCTTGGAATCCAGTTTTCTTATGCAAACTTCCAAATCGCCCAATATTGATTAAACAGACACCCAAGAAATACACAGTCAAATTACAAGCAAAATGGATGAGTTCGTTCTAGGTCTCTTTCCTAGACCTAAAACCCAAGAGGTGGTTCAATAAACCTATTCTATTATAGTCAGTTTACGCACATGATGTGCCAACTACATAACGGAATGATGACTCGCGTCACAGACAATATGATCGTCTCAGAAATATTTGGAATAATCAATGGAGTGAAGCGAGTCCGTTTACCCATCTCCATCCTCTGCAGCTTATTTTAATGCACCATGCTGATTAACGTCTACCATATGGAACTGCCTAGGACCAAGATCGTCTATAGAACCAGCGGCCAGCTTCTTTATATCCGGTGAGTATTAACATCCTCGCGAAAAGCAAAACTTACTGTTTACGAACTTCTCTTCCTGAACGTGTTTGCACTTAATGTAACGACAGAAAACCTATCGAAAGAGGTGAACTGTCTCGTCTCTGGCTGTGGGAACTTCAAGCGGACCAGCAACACAGTCAAAAGGATGGTCACACCAAACAGCGCTAGCGGTGAAATATGTTACGCTCCGAATCAACGTTAACGTAACTCAATGCGTATCGCTCAAATCGTAGGCGTAGCATTCCTCGTTTGAGCAAGTTAGCTAGATCCACCGACAGCAGAGACTGCCTTTTCATTGGCGCAACCCTACATGATATGGAAACCCAAATGGTCCACGGTTTGCTGACTACAGATTCCGTAAAGCCATACGTCCGCCGCTTCAGAGTTACAAAAGCGCAGTATCCCTGTTACACGCAGCCAAGAGAGCTTTTTGGGTTTTGATAAAGGTATTTTTTCACAATTTTAGGAGCCTTCCTAAAGCCGCGTCGGAAATGCGTTGTTATAACTTGGAGCATTGGACAGTTCAAGATCGAAATAGCATAGAAAGAGTTCAAATGAATCGGGTCCCTCTTCTCACGTAAACCCACTGCTTTTCAGCCTAATGTTCACCAACTCTTTCATAATACAAGTGGCCGTGAGGATTCGTCTGGTCCCACTCCTGCAACATCTGACTCCCTCCTTCCTTTACTCCTACATCTCTCTCTCTCTCACTCAGGCTACTTGACGCATTGGCCTGCCCATATGTTGGCGGCAGCCCCAGGTGTCGTTTCTTATTCTCCAGATAGCTCCCCCCTAGGACGCATGAAAATCCGCCTACATGAGCTAAACAGACAAATACCCCAACTCAACATGGTACTGCAAGCTCTAACGTTAAATCACCTGTGGCTTGTCGTCAGAGTGGTGAGACTCCAAAACTGAATCAGGCTCCGATCCAAAAGAAAGGTAGTACAATCCCATTTAGGGGTAAGCCGCCTTCTCTTAGATTTACCAAGTCTTCAAAGCCCAGCTCGTCTACAAATTACACAGCTGCAATTATACCCCCAAATATTTCTCTGTCCTGCGCGTGTGTTACTTGCCAATGCCCTACTATATATCCAGTAACTAATTTATACGTGAATTGCCGTTAGTCATTTATCCCCCAACCTAGTTCAGGCTTCCGACCACTTAAGGCCAACTGCTCTCCGGTAATTACACCTAACTCCTTTGACATCCAACCTAAACCTGGCCTCCACCCTTTTGTTCTTATAGCTGCCTACCCTCCCCCACCAGCCTCTACCTTCCTTCTAGGCTCCATCCTCCACAATTTAACTACCACCTGGCCGATCCCTGTTTTAAATCCCATAGCATTCCAATGCTCGAAACTATATCCCCACATCCTTTAGGTCTCCTCTCCGACCCATCGTTTCGCTCAAAGGTACTCCAACGTACGGACTGGCTAAGTGGCTGCTACGGCGTCTCAAGCTCCTGACCGCTGAGTCAGACACTACGGTCACTTCGTCAGCACAATTCCTGGAGAAACTCAAAGGGGTAAGCATCCATCCAAATGAGGTCATGGTATCTTTTGATGTTACATCCCTTTTTACTTCTATTCCCCAGGACCAGGCGATCGAGACAATTGAACTGCTACTACAAAGCAAATACGATGAAACGGAGAACCGTCTTGGACACGCCCAAATCCTTCAGCTCCTGAAGCTCTGTCTCAGGACGTACTTCACGTTCGACGGGACAATCTACGAACAGGTGAAGGGCACACCAATGGGTTCGCCGATTTCGGGATTCATCGCCGAGGCGGTCCTGCAACGGTTAGAGTCGCTGGTCTTCCAACACCACAGACCGAAATGCTGGGCCTGGTATGTGGATGACACCTTCGTCGTCATCGAACGGGATCAGGTGTTGACATTCCAAGAACATCTCAACACCGTCTTCCCGAACATTTAATTTACGATGGAGGAGGAAAAGAACAACCAGCTGGCCTTCCTAGATGTCCTCGTATGCCGCAAAGATTGTGGTGAACTAAAAACCAAAGTGTTCCGGAAAGCGAATAATACGATGCAAGTACTGAACGTCAACAGTAACCATCCAATCAGCCACAAACGCAGTTGTGTAAGGACGCTCTATCGGCGTGTCGAAACGCACTGCAGTGAGCCGGAAGACAAAATTGTCGAACTACAATACCTCCGACGGGTCTTCAAAGCCAATGGCTACTCGCGAAACATCATCGACCGGTGCATACGCAAAAGGGATGGAAGGTCAAGCCGCACGGACACCAAATCTTGGCGGGCACTTCCGTATGTCAAGAACGTTTCGGAAACTGTCGGCCGCCTTCTCGCACCACTTGGGGTTGGAGTGGCACACAGACCGGAGGCAACCATCAGGCGTCTGGTCATGAAACCGAAAGACCCACTGCCACGGTAAGAAACGTCCGGAGTCGTTTATCGGATCTAGTGCAGTTGCGGAAAAAGCAACTACGTCGGAGAAACCGGAAGACAGCTCCGAACGAGAATGGCCGAACACGCGGCAGCGCTGCGCAGAAATGACGCCAACTCTCTAGTTGCGGCTCATTCGACGAGATCCGGCCAAACATTCAAATTTGACGAGGCCGAAATTCTCGCAAGAGGTGACAACCGCGTGAGCCGGGAGCTACTGGAATCATGGTTTACTGGCCCCCAGTCCATCAACAAGTGCAACGATCTTCCCATTGCATACTCTGTGCTAAAACTTCGCCTAAGCGGAGTTACAAGCCATGCGGGGACGGCAGAGGTGAACACTTTTCCCAACATCGGGGTCGGTGCGTCAGATGGTCGAGCAATCATCACGCCAAAATCCAACGCACGTAATGAAATTGCAGCGATTATCGACTCGAATGTCGGCCATCAAGCAATGATCACACCAAGTGCGACGATCCCGGATGAAGGGGGAACCATGAATGTTCATAGGTATGCGGTAGCATGGCTACTGCATCCTATAAATACCGCAGCCCCTTGTGCAACAACCACCCGTTTCTGCTTTTTTGTCTCTGATGATGGATTCGAGTAAGAATCCGAAACGTCAGGCTAATAAAGCTCTTGTCCCGGCGATCGTGTCTCCTTCTTCGAGGATCCTTATTGTTCGAAACACATAAGATGTTATATTACTGAGTGCGAGGTCTCTTAAGAACAAGGTGGTCCAAATGGGGAGTCATTGCTCTTGAAATGACGCCCGATATGCAATTCAGGCCTGGAGACCGTGGACGCAGCAGGATTCAAATCTGCTCGGAAGGGTGCAGAGGCGAGCAACAAAATTAATAAGAGGTCAAGTGGCACTGCCATACGAGATCCGCCTACTAACCTAAATCTCTGTCCTCTGCGTTAGAGGCAGTTGCGCGGAGACTTGATACGAACTTTCCTTATCGTACGTGGCTTGGACTGTGGCCTTCGGTGCGACGACTTTTTCCAACTCCCAACTGCAACTAACCTCCGTAGACATACCTTCAAGCTACGTGTGCCCCAGGGTAGATTGAATGTGAGAAAGTATTTCTTTCCCAACCCTGTCGTGGAACCGTGGAAAAACCTGCCCGAGACGATTGTCATGTGTCAATCTGTGGAGACATTCAAATGTCGGCTGCTGCAGCAACAAGCGGACTATGTGACTTTTTAGCCATAAGACCAGTGACCTATGTGAATCAATGTCTGTATTCACTTAGTGCTGTGAAATCTTTACATTTTTGCTTATTTTATAGATTTTTTATGTACAAATAGGGAGTTCAAAGGCGTAAGCCCACTTCCTCCATATACACTGACTGACTGGCTGATGTTATATGTGTAACAGAATCTTGTACCCATTCTCTAGTTTCTGACTCTGCCCCTTTATAGATGATTTCGATTTTTACCGTCAAGAACGCACCATTAGGCGTGTAGGCGATTGTCTTTTTTATCTTAAATCCTACCTAAAGCACTCTCCCTATTACCTAGATGTCCTCTCATTCACTAGAAGCCTCTGCTTTGTGTCTTTTATCCTCTAGCCGTACAGAAAGGCAATTATTGGTTGTATCTACAGTCCTCCAAACTCTTCAGCCAGTGATGATTCACAACTATGTGAAATCTTTAGATTAATTTCGGAAGCTGCTTTCGATGTTAAAACAATCACCGGGGATTTTAAACTTCCTGAAATATACTGGGTTTCCAATATCTGTCCACCTACATTCGACACTTCCGTGATCATTTCAATTTTTTAACTGACCCAAATTGACGCGCCCTCCAACAAGAGATAATCACATTTTAGGTATAAACTTTACCAATGACATTGCCTCTCCTTTCGTGCCTCTAAATAGGACCTCTTGGATAGTGACTACAGTAGATGTGCTAACTCATGAAATGTCAACCAAAATTTCGAAATGCCTTCTCGTTTCGAAAAGATAAATTAAGTAGTGTTTTAAAACTAATCATGATGCAGCATAAATCTATAATGATCCAGTTACCTCAGGGTGTCGGCTTTCGAAAGAACTTATTTTCGGCTGCATGCAAGATCTATACGCTGCAAAAAATGACTACTTAAGTAGCATGCAATTTTCTCATTGATTTTCCATGCCCTTGAAAATTCAATTATATTTCATAAAAAACATGCATAAAAATATTCATTCTTTTACTTATTCGGTAGAAAATCACGTCTTCTTCCAATTTCATACTCAAAAGAAGAGTACAATTCGGTTTTAAAAAAGTTTCTAACTGTGAGATTTTTTAATACCGTTAAATGGCCATTCATGAAACGTCATGTATCTGCATTTACGAATGTGGCTTGTAAAGTTAACACTATTGCTCAAATCCACTGCTTAATTTTATGAACCTCATATGGTCTCCTCTTAACACCGTAGAGAAATGCATGGTTTTCCGTACACGGAAAATATACAGCTTGTAGTTTTGAAACCCTGAATGCAAGTGCAACAGCAGGTCGGGTTCAAAATTGATCGGGAATTAGAGAAGTTTTTTAAAACCAAATTATACTCTTCTTTTGAGTATGAAATTGGAAGAAGACGTGATTTTCTACCGAATAAGTAAAAGAATGAATATTTTATGCATGTTTTCTATGAAATATAATTGGATTTTCAAGGGCATCGAAAATCAATGAGAAAATTGCATAATACTGAAGTAGTCATTTTTGCAGCGTATGGATCTTGCATGCAGCCGAAAATAAGTTCTTTCGAAAGCCGACACCCTGAGGTAACTGGATCATTATAGATTTATGCTGCATCATGATTGGTTTTACAACACTACTTAATTTGTCTTTTCGAAACGAGAACGCATTTCGAAATTTTTGTTGACATTTCCTGAGTTAGCACATCTACTGTACCTATTAATTCACTGTTGCTTATCGCTTGCCTATTCAAAAAAGACTAGCACGGTTCGGACTTACTTAAACTACGATTACGTAGATAACGACTTGATAAGAAACTATATTAAATCATTGGATTGGTGTGGTTTTCTCTCCCGTAGCGATACAACCACGTGGTCCATATACTATATGGTTTACTAGTAGTTTAATCATACATCCCTTCCCCAATCCTCGGCTGGGCTCGAAGCGGACTGTGACCGATCGCGTCTGGGTTCCTCTCGTCTCACTCTTTTGATGCGAATAGTCTAATCCGGCGTATGAATTCTGCCCTGACGATGCCCGAGTTCGCCCATCGGGCACATACGCGGGGATCTCTTGCAGGCATTCCGCATTGTGATTAGATTGGATAGCAATATGGCTTTGATGACTATCTGGACTTTGCTACTACGATCGACCTCCGGGTTCACCCAATAGAAGTGCGCGTACGGCAGGCAAGGTTGGCTGTGCGCAAATTCTTCTTCCCTGTCAGAGTGGTCAAAAATAAATAAGTAGATGAATAAATTGTATTTTTGGTACCACTTAGGGTACTAACAGACCAACTAAAAATAAATTTTCAAGTAAATTTTAAGTAGAATAGACACAATGTGTACAGCATTCAGTTCATACCCAGGAAAAACGGTTAGCGAGCAGTGAAAAAGCCATTTTTAAAAGAGAAAAAACGAATATGCATTAAGTAGCCTTTATGGAAAAACTAAAAAGACTACTGAAGTTCAGAAAGATTAATTTGGGCCTAATAATAATACACTTAAGCATGATCTCAAGGAGAGCTTTGAAAATGACGTTTTGGTTATCAGAACTCCTGGTGTCAGCAGTTCTTTTGAGATCCATCTAGGCAAAATATTGCATGCACATAAACTGCCTGGGATTGAGCCCACACTAATTGTAAACTTCAAGACAAGTAGACTTTCCAAGTAGTGATCGGTAGGGCAGACGCAAAGTCGGCTAGGGTCATTCCAAGTTAGGTTTGTTTATTTCCAGCAAAGTGTTTTTGGTTTCACTTGAGTAAATCACATGCTGTCGCCACAGAAGACTCCAAAAATAGCCATTTTTGTTTGGCAGAGCAAGAGGTCTTGCTCATTGTGATTGTGATTGCCTGAAAATCGCGTGTATTTGAAAAAAACGGTCCTGAGCACGAAAGCAGCAAGCCAGCACGCATGTAACGATTAAAAAATGTTCACATTTTATGGAATTCAACAGAAACCCGGATTGAATCTAAAGGCTTATTTAAGAGCGCACGGATCTGAGCAATGCACGGAAAAACGAGCTTATAAATCATGCCCCTGAGAGAGAAATCGCGAGCTGTGAACGGAAAACTCGGTGACGATAGGGTGTACGACCCACAAGCAGATGAAAACTTCAAAAATATAGCCTAACATTCAGCGTGACTGTAAGCATCACTTTTTATTCACGGCCCCCATTGTTTGAAAGTTCCTTCTCTTTCTGACTAAAAGTAAATTTATTAGCAACGCTTCATTCAAAGTCCGTCCTTTTTTAAAAATTGGTCTTTGTTTATGTCTTAATTATTGCGTTCACTTTCTTTTCCAAATGACAGCGCAAGACAAGAATTTCGG